CACCATGCAGGCCTTCCCTGAGCTTGTCAGGTTAGCATGTGGCCCCTTTTGTCCACATATATAAACGCTCATAAAAACAATCACCACAATAAGAATATTGAACAATAATCTACCTAGCCATATAGTCAGGGAATGCAGAAGAGGAAGGAAATTGGCCTTCAGAATCACTTTGCCCAGACATATAACAAGAAGAAACTAGAGAATGACCCATAGAAGTAATGAGCTTTAAAGGGCAGTCACCACACTCACTTGTAAGACATGCCTAGTGATGAGACAGTATAGGGGTAACATCTAGGCTCCATCTTGACTGAAAGGACTCCCACTGAAAGGCCTGACTATGACTCCTTGCTTTCAGTAAACTTCCATATTTGATACTAACCTAACCACATCCTTACAGAGTTACAGAATGAAATGCTTGTTCTCTCTGATGGTCTGCAGGCTAATAGCTTCTGCTATAGATATCTCAATTAATTAGAGGAATTCTGATTGAGGCTTAAGCAGCCCCTTTGTCATCAGAGATGAGGAAATATGCACAAAGTAATGACTTTTTTTCAGAGATTCACAGGAGTATCCATAACTAGACTCAGATCAGTGGGTCAACGGAGGGACCAGGAACAAAGGGATTGAGAAATTCCACACTCTCCCTAGAATCCTTTTAAATGCCTACCTGTCTAAGACCAGCACCCACCCCTTATGTCACCCTTCCTCCCTTCCCTTGACAGTAAAAGCCACCTGGATTTCACCCTCTTTTAAGATGGATTTGAGAATAAGTTTTGGAGATAGGCCTTCTTGATCAATAAATCTTTCCTTGCTCCAAACTCTGATGTCTTGAATATTGGCTTTTCTTTTGAAGCATCAAGCACAACCTTGGGTCTGTAACAAAAAGAAAGAATGTACAAAAACTATACATCCCTTTTTAATGTCATGTTCTACAAAATAGATGTTTTATCAAATAAATGATAATAAGACAGAGTTTGTGGCAAAACAACTTTGATAAAAGCTACAGGAACTGTCAAGAAGATAGTAAGACCACCTTCCACCAGATTTATGGCTTAAAACCAGCAGAGAACAGCTTATTCCAACTGTTCTGGGAGAAATTAGTGGGCCAGATTTTCGTGAATCTAGGGCAGGGGTGGGCAAACTTTTTGACTCGAGGGCCACAATGGGTTCTTAAACTGGACCCGAGGGCCGGAACAAAAGCATGGATGGAGTGTTTGTGTGAACTAATATAAATTCAAAGTAAACATCATTACATAAAAGGATACGGTCTTTTTTTTTTTTAGTTTTATTCATTTCAAATGGGCCGGATCCGGCCCGCGGGCGGTAGTTTGCCCACGGCTGATCTAGGGGATGGGGTAGCTCTTGCTATAGCTTCAGAAAATGAATTTTCTAAGACTCTCACAGAAGAATGAGTTATTTTTATTCGAATTATGTTTCTCAGGTTGCAAAGTCCCATGCCCCTTAACACAGTCCTGAAAGAGGTGTAGTTGGGGGTCCAGCAGACCCAAAAGCAGGGCCAGTGTTCAGAGACTCTGTTCCATGTTGCAGCAAGGCACAGTTCAGGATCAAGGAGATTCAGTCTATTAATCCATTGTGTAGAGACAAGATGGCCATGGGCCACATGGAGGAATGCAGGAGAATGCACCCCGTGTAACAAGAGTCCCAAGAAAGCTAGAGGGCCAAGGGCCAAGGGCCAAGAGAGAGGGCTCCTTTGTCCAGGTGTTTAAATATTCAGGTTTCTCAAATTTGCATTGGCCATGCCTATTCTGGCCACTAACTTGTTCCCAGGTGTGACTGACAGATAAACACCTTCCCATGTCACTCAGACCTTACTGGGCATGTGTCCAAAATGCCTTGTCCAGTCCCTTGCCCATTGATCTATGGAAAACAAATTTGGAGAATGTTAAATTACAGCTATCTAGCAAGGCTGTATAAAGGGCATGCCTATAGTATCTAGTTTTCCCTTTACTCCTTTTCTGTTACCTAATAACCAGATTATGACAGGGGTATCACAACTTGGTGATCAGTTTCACCTAACAGTAATCCCTACCTTCATAATGCAATCATTTTAACACATTAGCATGCTAAACAACACACACTGAGTTGCTCTAATCAGTCATGGAAAGCCCATAAAAGAACACAAAATGTCTGACAGAGCTCCTCTGAGAAATCTTCACCCCTTTCCCCAGAAGATCCTGAATATTTCCTCTGTCAACGTAAAAAACCATTGAAACCTGTAAAGAATTTTTGTGAGTTTATTTGAGCCAAACTGTCAACATATGCCGGGAAGCAGAACCTCAACGAATTGAGATAATGCTCTGGAGAATGGCAGGGTTACATTCGTATTTATACATTGCAATCAAAGGAGGAACATAGGTGGTTTACATGAAATTCATTGGTGACAGATTTAAGGAGGTGGGATTAAGCGAAGCGGGGAAACCTCTAGGATAGGATAAAAAGTAAAATGATGGACACATACTTAGGTGGGTGCAGGAACAATTAACATGATAAATGAAAGAATCTGCGGCATCTGTCCTGGGTCCGGCACACCTGGCTGTGCCCTAGGGGCTCCAGATACAGGGAAGTCACAAGTTACCCAGACATTTCAAGGGCATGTTATCATAGATGCAAAAAGACAGATAGGCTCAGTTAAGGTAAAGGTTGACCTTGTCAGTGAAGATATCAGCTTAGGACGTAACTGCCCACCATAACTGCTTTTAGTTAAGGTTTAATTTCAGACCATCCTTTGTGGTTACTTTAGGTCTGCAAAACTGCCATGCAGGCCTCTTCTGAGCTTGTCAGGTCAACATGTGGCCCCTTTCGTCCACACCTCTTATTGAATACCCAACCCCTGATTAAATGAACCTTAATACTGGAAGCAATTCTTGTAAAGAGGGCTGTTCTGTCTGTGGAGTACTCATTCTGTCTCATGGCTTCACCAGTAAACTCACTTTCACTTTGAACTCTGTGCTGGCTTGTGTTTGAATTCTTTCCTGTGTGAAGTCTAGAACCCACAGTGAGTCTCAGAACCTCAGGTCCTTGGACCCACAACCTGCATCAGTAACTAGAATATTTGTGCAAATATTTCACAGGCCCTCCAAGTGGCCCACTGACCATGGAAAACTTGTGGTTCCCCGGGATCAACTACTACCAAGTGACTATCAATCATGGATAACTGTTCTCTTCCTCATTCCCACATCCTACATCCACACCAAGGCTCCTATATAAGCCATCCACAAGAACCCCTTAGATAGCTCAACTTCTCTTTACTGGTCCCTCCCTTGTGTACAAGCTGTCCGCAAAAAATCAATATGCCTGATCTTGTACAGAGTTCAGTGCTTATTTCTATGACATGGAGACTCAAGAACCTGGTGTTTAAGGTATGTAACAGTGGGACTATGACCATTCAGATGAATGATGCCTTATTTGTTGTTAATTGTTAATTAAGAAGACCTTAAGGGAATGAGAAAGAAAATAAGCATGGAGGGGGGATGGTGAGAAAACACCTTTCCACCTACACTTACTGCAAACCACAAAGAAACCCAAAGTACATGTGAATTCACTGGATGAATTGCAGACCTTCTGGGATTTGTCCCCCAGAAAGATGCTCCTGGGAAACAGTGCTGATATGCTGCCAGGTGTGCCACTGTCTAGTCTTCAAGAGATACACTTTCCTTTTGTACCTGAAACAGTGAAATGCTTGCTCTCTCTGATATCTTAATTCTAATCTGCTTTTTTCCCATGGCCTTCAGGCTAATATCTCCCACTATAGATATACTAATTAACTGGAGGAATTCTGCTTAAGGTTTGAGTTTTTATAAGAGCAGCCACTTGTCAGAAGGAGAATTTTCCAAAGAGGTGAGGAAATATATACAAGATAATGACAGTTCATCAAAGATTTACAGGAGTCTCCAGACCAGACTCAGTTCAGCTGGTGGTCAGGGGACTGATGGGAACAAAAAGATTTAGAAAGTTCTTGCTCTTTCTTGGATTCCAGTCATGCCTAACTGTCTAAGAACCTCACTCAACTGCCATTCCTCCCTTTCCTTGACATAGTCACCTGAATTCTGGGTTCTCTTAACATGGATTCAGAGAAGATACAAGGCACTCCTCAACACCCCTCCACCATCCTATCTTCTTGAACTGGATCTTTTTTTTTATAAGTATATTATTTTTTAGAATATATTTTATTGATTTTTTTTTTTTTTTTCGCATTGAGCACACAAACCTTGTACTGGGAACATACCTTCTAGGTAGGACCAGCATCATAAATCATGGGTTGTGCATGTGGAGAGCTGTCCCACATTCATGATCAATTTCCAAAAACAATATTAAAGTGCTTTCTGGCATGACTGAATAGATTCAGAGCCCCTAGTGATCCCACTTGCTCTGTGAGGTCTGACTCAGACTTAGGAGGCAAGCGTGGGGATTGGGAGCAGGCCTTCCATTTCACAGAGAGAAAGGTCAACATGCAAATACTGATGAGGCAGCTCTGGGAAAGAAGGAATCTGATATGTCTATCACTTACTGTTAATTGAAGGACTCATTTTAATTGTGGATGTAATCCTGGACTGAGGGACTATTGGCCCCTGGAAATGAAGGAAGAATTTACCACAAAGAGAGGCAGGAGAGAATCAGCAGGCCAGAAGAGCAGAAAACAGTATAATTTTGTGGATATGTGAACAGTGAACGACACAAGATGTTGCACCTTGGTCCTTGAGTTTTGCTAAGAAAAAAAAATTCAGAGCCAAGCAACTGTAGTACAAGCAAAAGTTTATTTAGAAAGTCACAGGGTAAAAGAAGTGAGCCATGGAAGAAGTGAGCCAGCTAGACTGCATGGACTCAGGAAGCAAGTTACAGAAGCAAACAAGGGCCTTTGGAGCTTAGAAGAAAGAAAGCAAAGCCAATGCACCTGATGGAAGAAAGGGGGAAGGAAAGGCTTGGGCGTGCTCTAGAGAGAGAGTGTACCTGAGATAGGGAAAGGTGTGGGGGAAAGAGAGAGAGAGAGAGGCGCCTGGTCCTTCTTCATCTTGATGGCTTTTATGTATTTTCCAAAGGTGTGGGTTTTAGAAGAGGTCTCAGGGGAGGATCTCAATAGAATCTTCATCAGCTTTCCAAGTGTGTCCTTTCAAGGTGGTGATCTCCTACTAGGGTAGGAGATCATTAGTCATTGCATCTGGTCCCAAAGGCAGGATGTCATTGCTTCATCTGGTTTTGCTGCTTTTCTGGGCCTGGAGCTGAAACACAATTGAGGCCTAGATGTTTTCTCTAGTTTGACCAAAACTCTCTCCTTGGTCAACAGATCCAAGGCATTGTTCCTAAGATTATTAGATGAGGGTCAGAACCTCACTGTTCTAGGGCAGTGATGGAGAACCTATGAACTCATTTTTTTTGGTTGATTTTTCTTTGTTAAATGGCATTTAAATATATAAAATAAATATCAGAAATATAAATCTTTGTTTTACTATAGTTGCAAATATCAAAAAATTTCTATATGTGACATGGCACCAGAGTTAAGTTAGGGTTTTTCAAAATGCTGACACGCCGAGCTCAAAAGGTTCACCATCACTGTTCTAGGGGCTTAATGCTTAAGGGAATGGTCATACAAGGGTCATATGGGAGTTGTATGATGCTATTCTCTGGCCTCCTTGTTCTGTCTCCCTCATGACTAGCAACATTCCAAGGGGTGTAAGTTCAGGGGAGAATCTGAACTGTTTGACCAGAGATATGAAAGGTTAGGATGTGTAAACTGCATGACCAGTGATATGCCAGGGGAGGAAAGGACACCTTGGGGTGAAGTCCCACCATACAATACTTGTTTATGAAGTTTTCCCCATTGTTAGGCACCCGGGACTTTCTATCCTGGTAACCTTCTGTATCTGGCCTGTAGTTTCTACTCTGGTCATATCTGTCTAACTGCCTGCAATATCAGATACACTTAACGCTACAGGGGTAAGGAAGAACTGGGACACTAACATGTGTTTATCTGTGTACTGAAAATGTAGAATTATTGAAGCTTGTTTGGTTTAAAGAATATTCTGAAAATCAACATTATTCTTCATTGGATACGATTATTTCAGCCTGTAAGCACACACCCACATTAGTACCTCCATTTTAATGTTAATTTGCCTGGGTTAGTCTTCCGGTAACAGAGTAGGCATCTAGACAGGTATGAGCAGAGCAGGAACCAAAGGCCAGAGTGGAAATTCCTGGGTGCCTAACAAGGGACAAAACTAGAGAAAACAAGTATTATAGGCTCGGACCTTACCCCCAAGGTGACCTTTCCTCCCTAGCATGTCCCTAATGATGCAGTTTAGACCCTTTGAACTTTTATATCATTAATCATGCAATTTAGACCCCCTTTAGAAGAGGAACAAAGGGGCCAGAGAATAGAATCATAGAACTCCCATACAAGCCCTTGCATGACCACTCCCTTAAACATTAAGCATTAAGCCCCCAGAACAATGAGGTTCTGACCTGCATCTAATAATCTTAGGAACAAAGGCTGGGATCTGTTGACCACAGAGAGAGTTTTGGTCAAACTAGAGATAACATCTAGACTTCAGTTGAGTTTCAACTCCAGGCCCAGAAAAGCAGCAAAACCAGATGAAGCAACAACATGGCTGACATCAGGATCTCCTACCCTAGCACCAGTCAATCAATAGAGACCATGACCCTGAAAGGACACACTTGGAAAGCTGATGAATATGCTATTGAGATCCTCCCATGAGAACTCCCCTAAAATCCCCACCTTTAGAAAACAAATAAAAACCCTGAAGATGAAGAACCCAGCAGGTGTTCTTCCTCTCTTGAGTACACCCACATCTCTCCACACCCACTTTTGTTCCCAGGCACTCTCTCTATGGAGCATAATGGTGCCTTTCCCCATCTTCCCTCAGGTGCATTATCTTTACCTTTCTTTCTCCTAAGCTCCAAGGGCCCTTCTTTTGCCACTGTAATTTGTTTCTTAAGTCATGCAGCACATTTGCCTCATTTCTTCTACCCCTGTGACTTTCTAAATAAACATTTGCTTGCATTTCAGTTCTTTGGCTCTGAATTCTTTTTTAGCTGAACTCAAGGACTGAGGTGTAATTCTGACATTAACATCAGGAGGAACTAGTACTCCTTTTTTTGTGGGATAGCAATAGGCTCCCCACAGAACAGAGACCTCTGATTTGTCTCCTGATGGCTGTTTCTCTTCTTGACTGAACTGGACCCCTCCAGGACAGGACCCCATCTTTCTTCTCCCAGTCTTCACCTCTTCAGACCACTTTCCTTCCCATTGGCTCCTGGCTGTGCAAGTCTGAACCTGGACCCTCTGTTGTCACTTATCACGTTATTCTACAGATGGAGGTCTGAGCAGTCTCATGGCCCAGGTGAAAGATAACATGAGTGGAGCCATATTAAAATAGAGCCTAAGTAGCCATTTCAGAGGAACTGCTTTGCACGTCTTATTTTTCTTTATCTTCCAAGCTGGACCAAACCACCATAATTCCAAGAAGGCCAAGACTATCCTATTTGTAGAGACTGATGAAATTAGACTTTGAGAATGACCAAATTTCGAACCAACAAATTGAATACAATTTCAGGTGAATCTCAAGCCAACCCATGAAGTACAAATCTAACCCTACCTCATCTAGTACCGATAAATCTTCTTTAATACAACATATCTAATCTTCCTCCCTTTTCCCCATAAAACCCTGAGTCCCTATAAAGGGGGAACACTATATGGGTTTCTGCCTGAATTTTTTCTCCCAAATTGCAGTTCTTTTGTATCTTAAATAAATGCGTATTGCTTCTCATTTTTTTTTCATCTCATTTTTGCTTTTTATCTTCCAGTTAACACCCAGGAAGCACAAAGACCCAGAAAACAGAGGTGGTGATATGCAGTTACAAATGCAGCAAAACACCAAGTCAGCATTCTTAGAAGTTCCACTAAGAAAGAGGAAAACTGAGGAGCTTCAGGCTTGGGAAGAAGGGTGAGATAAGAAAAATTCTGTCTCCAGAAAAAAAAATCTAAAAACTTAAAGTTTCCTTTTTTCCCCCTCCTGCATCCTCATTGCTGGTAAGGAGTGAGACTCCCATTACCGCAGAAATGCAGGTATATCTGACCACTCTCACCTGCAGGCTTCCTCCTTATATAGAAGCTCCCAGGGCTAAGAATCTAGTTTACAGGAGAAAAATAGCCATTTCCAACATTTATAAATGTAGTATATAAAGACAATGACAAGTGGTGAAACTGATTGGAATTAGGGCCTCTCTCTCCCTATGACCTTGTCTAGAGTCAGATGCAGCTGTAAAAAAAAGGGACAAATAAAATGACTAAGTGATGACAGAAGCTGAGTCTGTCCAAGAAATGTAAGGAAGCTTTGCCAAGAACTAAACAGACTCACAGGCCAAGTACCCTGGGAATCTGTGAGAGCCGCCAGCTCAGGAAGAGCCACAAGTCCACAGCATGTAGTGAAGCCGGAAGACTCGGAATTTTTTTCTTGAGTTGACTCTGGTGGCAGAAAGGATGATTGGGAAGCAAGGAGACCTAGGGTCTACTCCCAGCTGTGCCACTAATTAGCGGCAGCCCTGAGCAAGCCACTTAACCTTTTTGAGATTCAGCTTGTTCCTCTGTAGAAAGCAGGGGTTACAATAGAACAGGGGAGGCAAATGGGAGGCATGTATATGCTTACTTCTCTCCTGCCTTCCGCAGAGGCTACTGTTCAACTACATTATGGCTTAGAAGTTCTTCTACAGCAGTCCAAATAGGCACTTCCAATTAAACTTTGTTTACAAGTTGAAATCTAATTTTTTTACCTCTAAAATCCCTTCTAGCTCCTAAATGGAAGGTTCCAATTTTCCAAGTAATAGATGGCTATTTTTCTGATTTAGTGACTCACTCAGAAAAGAAAATAGAAAGACAGACAGACAGAAAGAAAGATAGAAAGAAAAGAAAAGAAAAGAAAAGAAAAGAAAAGAATTCAGTTTACAGAAGAAAAATAGCCACTTCCATCATTTTTAAATGTAGTATATAAAGACAATAACAGAAGTAGTTAAACTGGTTGGAAGTAGGGCCTTCCTCTCCCTATGACCTTGTCTAGAGTCAGATACAGCTGTAAAACAAAGGGACAAATAAAATGACTAAGTGATGACAGAAGCTGAGTCTGTCCAAGAAATGTAAGGAAGCTTTGCCAAGAACTAAACAGACTCACAGGCCAAGTACCCTGGGAATCTGTGAGAGCCGCCAGCTCAGGAAGAGCCACAAGTCCACAGCATGTAGTGAAGCCGGAAGACTCGGAATTTTTTTCTTGAGTTGACTCTGGTGGCAGAAAGGATGATTGGGAAGCAAGGAGACCTAGGGTCTACTCCCAGCTGTGCCACTAATTAGCGGCAGCCCTGAGCAAGCCACTTAACCTTTCTGAGATTCAGGTTGCTCCTCTATAGAAAGCAGGGGTTACATTAGGACAGAGGTGCCATGTACATCCTTACTCCTCTCATGCCTTCTGTAGAGGCTACTGTGAAACTACATCGTTGTTTAGAAGTTCTTCTACAGCAGTTGAATGAAAGTTTATACACAGTGGAAATCTACTTTTTTTCCTTCTAAAATCCCTTCTAGCTCCTAAATGGACAGTTCCAATTTTCCAAGTAAGAGATGGTCATTTTTCTGATTTAGTAATAGCTCACTCAAACAGAAAGAAAAAAGAAAGAGTAGAGAAAAGAAAATTTAGTATCATAATTTCATACCCTCCTCCCCCTCCCACTCTGAAGCTGGGCAGGGTCTTCCTGATGTCACACTGTCCTTCCTTCTGTGTCAGAGATTTTAGTAGGTTCACCCAGCATGAGTGTCCTCTGCAGCACCCTTTTATCTAACCAGCCCACACTTGTTAGTACATGCAGACCCCGGGAAAGGTCCCAGGACTAAAAACCTACTTCACTAAGGGGAGGGCAAGGAAAGACCAATGAAAGAGGCTGGTCACTCCAGTCTGGTAATTAATAGAATTCACTAAGGGAAACTTACATACAAGGTCCGTCTTGGGTGGCTGTGAGATAGAATGGATCCCTGGGACACCTGGCAGGTGCCAATGAATTTACTTAGGCTAAAAGGGGTGGGGGGATAATCAGGGATAATAATACAAGAATGATACCAGGTACAGAAATTACTTTACATGCTTGACCAGATCAGGACAATGGCCTGTTCCAGGAAGGAGCAAGTCACTGGAGTCGGGGGAGGGGTCCTGATTTATTTCAGAAAGGACATCAATTGTGATCTGACAGTCTCTAAGGGGGATTTATGGGAAGCAATCTCTGTTCTGGCCCTCCACCAGATTATGGGACAGGAATCATACCATGGAATAGTCTTTCTTCCACATTTAACATTTTATGTTTGGCATCAAGGAATCTTGAAAAAGAGATCAAGGAATCTACTTGAAAAAGAGATTATCTCCAAAAAGAATTCTCTAAAAGCCAAGTTAGAAGAGGGGGCATTTAATGATTCTACTTGCTGCTCACCAAAGTTAACCAGATTTGCAGTTCTCACCTTCTGGCAGGAAAGCAATCACATTAACAGTAACCTGAATGGAGACAGCTTCAGGAAGCCAGGTAGTTGTAACTGAGTTTTATTGAAAGAAGCAGTAAAGTGGTTCACATGGGACTCACTTCACAACCCACTTCTCACCCCCCAAACCACGAGGCACAAGTCTCAGGCCAGGGAAACACTTTTGTGTTGCATAGCAGCCCTACCTTGAGTCATTTCCCTCAGTGGTAGCAAGGATGAGGGAGAGACAGGTGACTCTCGGGGCATCTCACTGCTCTGATCTCCGATGGAGACCTCTACTGAAGCATCAAAGTGGACGGGCACGTATGGGTTTCCCTCACAGGCCACGATGATGTGCCTCTCTTTCTGGCTGGTCTGGTAGTCACAGTTGGGGTACTTGGAGCCACTCGTCTCATGACAGTCTGTGATATTCATGCTGGAGTTGCTCTTGTGGCAGTTGGGCTGCCCATTCTTGCAGGTGATGTTTCCCTGGAGGCAAACGGCCTGGACATCTACCAGAGGCTCGTGCACGAAGGTGTTCACTGGCTTGCACCATCCCTCTGTCATATGCCGGCGCCTCATCATTTGGTTGCAGTAGTTGGAGTTGTTGTTGGGGCCGTCTGGGTCCATGTGTTGCCGCTGGAACTTCATGGCCCGTGATTCCCTGCCCAGGGAAGGCTGGACCCACCCCAGCACTAACAGCACCAGGACTAGCAGTGGGAACAGGATGAGGGACTTCTCCTGAGCCATGGTGGCCTCAGTCCTCTGGAGGAGCCTAGTCAGTGAAGGGAGAGAGGAGGAAAAGCATCACGTTAGAAGAGAACCCCAGGTGCCACCTGTGATCTCCCTGGCTTACAGTCTCCCTTCAGGTCAGCCTGAAAGACACCCTTCTTCCTGCAAGATTTTCCAAGTGATGCGACACTCACATGTACTCGCCTCCAAAAGCATTTGACCCCTACTAGTGACAGAGAGGTGGGTCTTCCCCTCTGGGTGGTGACCTCCAAAGTGATCTAAAATCCCAGGGGTCCTGTTTTTGAATATTAAAGGTTTTTTTAATCTAAAATACTTTTTAAAAAATAAATTTTATTGATTTCAGGGAGGAGGGGAGAGGGAGAGATAGAAAGATCAACAATGAGAAAGAATCATTGACCAGTCTGCCTCCTGCCCATCCCCTACTGGGGATCAAGTCCACAACCTGAGCCCACAACCCCGGCACGTGCCCTTGATTGGAATTGAACCCAGGAACCTTCAGTCTGCAGGCGGATGCTCTATCCACTGAGCCAAACTAGCTAGGGCTAAAATACATGTATACTCCGTGTTCTAGTGGGTCAATAGAAGATCTTTCTGTATAAACCATGAGTCAAATTGTATCGCGGTTAATGTCATGACATATAGGGTGATGGCGGAGAGAGCTCCGTTGTCCTGCAACACTAGGGAAACTCAACCCAGTGCCTGGCACTGGCATCATAAAGAGATGCCATTGTATTCCAAAGAGAGATGCTTGCCTCCCCGACCTGGGACTGCTCCTTCTCCAGCCCCATGTGTTCTCTGCAGCCAGAATGCTCACTCCCATCCCAGCCCTGTCCCTAGCTACATTTGCAGCCCTAGCCCTAGCTTAGGTTTTAGCCTTGCCCACCATGCCTCCCTCCTCTCCAGACCTCAAGCAGAATCTGCTCCCAAGACCATCTCTTGGGTCTCTTACCTGGGACTCTAGCTTGGATACCAGGCAAGCTTAAGTGGAAGACTAGTTTCTGCAGTCACTGGATCCCTGGGGAGTGGAGCTTATGAGATTATAAAGGGGCTTGGCTTCCAAGATGAGAAGGGTGGGAGGAGCAACCCTGAGGACAGTGGGGAATGGCCCAGGCTCCCCTCTTTCCAGGATTGCTGGAGGGAATGAGTCTGCCTATAGGAGTCTTTCTTGCCATTCGAATCTCATCTCTCTGCTGGTTCATAGGGGTAGCAGGGAAAGTCACTAAGGCCCTGATGCTCAAACCCCAACCAAGTCTTTGTTATCTCTTTGGGGGCCATGTCACCAAATAGCCCTTGGAAGTTAGCAAAGTACACATAATATGTAATCAAGAGAGGGGGGGGGAAAGGGAGGTCCTCTCTCTCCCCAAGAGTCCTGCAGTGGTTTTGACCAGAATTACCAATCTCCTAACAGCAGCTCTCCTGGGGAAAGTAGGAGAGGTATCCAGCTGTCTCTAGCTGGCAGGCTTCCCAGATCTGGAGAAGGAGGGGAGAGTGCCTGAACAGTTTGGGTAAGAAGGAAGCCTCTACATGGCCTCACCCAGTTCTGGTCACTTCAACATTCTGAGGTGAGTGTGTGACAATTTTTATCTTCAGTGACCACTCATCCTGTAGGTCAGAGTTAAGTAGAGAAACTGAAGATAAATTAAAACCCAAATTCTCTTTCAGAGAAAAAATAGAGAGCATCAAGTTTCTTAGCAGCAGAATTCCCTCCTAGGTAGAGATCTCTTTTTGTTGCGATAATTTTGGTACTGTTTGAGTGAGAAATAGCAAAATTTCCTCCATGCTCTAGATTTATTATTTTTTTCTAGGAAAATTATTTTATTTAGTTATAATATCAATCTCCAACAGCTTGAAATAAAAACTTCCATTTTTTTCCATTGAACAGTATGGTTTGTATGTCACTTTCTTTCAGAATGTCCTGTTTTTCATTAAAATAACTTCTATACCACTCAATGTGTTTCACTTTCTATTTAACATTCAGATATGGGGTTTTGGAAAGGCCATGTTAGTTCTAATCAAACCATTGAATCGATACTCCCTCCCCTGGAAGCTGACCTTGAGGCCATTTTACAATGGACATTCCCTCTTGCTTAGACCACATTCCACTTGCTGAGACCATTATCTCTCCCCTCCAGACCTTCCTAGGATCCGGACCACCCAGAGAATTCTCTGCCCAGAAAAAGCCCGACTACAGTCCTTTAAAATCTCTGACTCCCTGTTCCTGTGTGCTGGCACCATTTGAGGGCTCAGCCCATCTGGTATCCAGATGACCTAATAATTTTAGAATCCCTTGCCACTTTGGCTCCATGTGCTTCTCCTTTGGTGACCCTAACAGGCCACAGTCACCAGCTCCATTAAGTAGTGAACTGGTCTTTGTTTTGGAAAATACTGCAGGTATTTATTCAGAAATTATGTTTATTACATTCTGAACCATCATCAAAACCTGCTTCGTTGTTAATTGGCAACTCCCACAACTTCCCCTCTTTAATCCACTGGCTCATCTTTTCAAAACCATTCTGAAAGGGCTGTTCATTCACTGCAGCTAACTGCTTAGAAATTCCACATCCCAACATGAAGGTGCTGTTTCTGTTTCATGTGCCTCTTCAGTAACTGCTTTAACATAAAAAACATGAAGTTTCTTCCTCTTGAATGTATTTATCCTAAAGTAGCTGACAAACTCACTGGCTCTGAACTGCAGTGCTGGGGCCACAGCTCCAACACCAGGGACACTCAGGGAGGAACTGGCCTCAGGGTGAAGGCTGTCCATGCTCTGGATTGAGACTGTCTCCATCCAAATTGTAGTTTAGCACCTTAAAAGCTGGGCAAGTTACACAACTTGACTTATTTCCCTGCTCCTCAGTTTCCTGGTCTCTAAAATGGGGATAATAATATGTACCTTTTAGATTTGTTATTACACTGAAATAAGGTCAGATGTGCAAAGTGCTTCAAGTAGTGCTTAGAAAGCATCTATCAATGGTAGGTCAGTGATTGTTCATAGGGAGTGGTGTTGAGGTTCTGTGCAAAGGAAACTGTTTAAATAACATTGGGTGATCTCTGAATTGCTTTTTACAGGGGGTGGAGTCAAGTAATAGGCAGACCTTGGTTTTGCTAAAAACATGAGCTTAAAATAGCAGGCAGTTTTGAAATCCTGGAGAGAGGAGGAAAGAGGTAGAGGAGAGAAGAAAGGGACCATGGTAGAAAGAACAGAATAATTTTAAATCAAATTTCAAAATTGTATTGCCCTGTGATAGCCAAGACATCTTTAGTCGAGTCAACATTATTTGCTAAAGTATAGAAGTTTGAAAGTAGCAGTGGGGCTAAGGAAGCCATGGCATAGCATGAGCTTTTAGTTTCATGTTTCTGTAGTTCACCCACCACCTCACCCTCCACCCATGTTTTGTTTGTCTTAGTCCTTAGATAGTACTTTTATCATCTTGAGTGGAGTTGGGAGGAAAAATTTTCCTACCCATTTAGGTTCCTGCTTGTGGGCCTGTGAATTAACTGATGAAAGTCAGATTAACAGAAGAGACTAGACAAAGTTTATTCACGTGCAGATGAAGATGCGCAAAAGAGAGGAGAAAGGATAAACTGGAGTGTTCAAGGCAGGCTCCCAAGATCACAGGCCATTATAAAACCACATCAGTGACTGGCCTGATCCCAGGTGCAGGTGGGAAAGTGAAGGGAAGTACATATTTGTCCCTTCCATAGGTGCCTGGAAATTAATCTCTGAAATCCTCCTAGAGCCAAGGACAAAAGTGTAAAATGTTTTCGAGGCTGTGCAGGTTATCATTCCTATAGATGACTCCCATTTTACAAGACTTCTCATTTCACTTTCCAAGCCCATTTCACATCCATCCATCCAACAGTGTGAACTAGGAAGAAAGGGGTTCCAACATCCGAGCCCTTGTTTGAGGCCAACCAGGTACAGGTTGCACTTTCCCAGAGGGCGGCTCTGACCTGTGTGTGAGCCCACCAGGTGCAGTCAATAGCCTGGTCTCTAGAACACACAGAGAAGGGCCCAGTCTCCTCCCTCTCACTCTAAGCCTCCCAACACTATCAGTTTTCCTCAGCCCCAAGGACAGAGTGCATCTTCCCTATGTCCTTTCCCACCCCGAGTGCCACCCTGGGTCTTCTTAAAGGAGGTCAGATATTGCTCAAGGTGTCTGAGGGAAGACAGAGACTTGGGAGAAGGCCTAATTACCTTTCAGGATAGGTAATTCAGTGGTCTCCTTGGTTCCACCCATTTTAGGAGAGTCACCCTGCCCTTCCCTTGTAGGGCCAGCACCAGTACTCCTTTCCATATTTAAGGGTAACCCACTTGTGCCAGCTCTTCTGACAGCTTATCACAGGGCCATTAATTATTGACCTGGATTTCTAAGTGAAACAAAAGTGCTGATAGACCTGGCCTGGTGGTTCGATTGGTTAGAGCATCATCCCGTGCACCAAAAGGTTACAGGTTCAATGCTTGGTCAGGGCACATACTGAGTTGTGGCTTCAATCCCTGGTCGGGTTGTGTGTTGGGAGGGGAATATAGGGGAATAACCAATTGATGTTACTCTCGCACATCAATGTTTCTCTCTTTCCCTCTCTTCGTCTCCCTTCCTCTCTCTCTAAAAAAATCAAAAAACACATATTTTCAGGTGAATAAAGAAAGAAAGGAAACAACTGATAAGAGAGGAAAGCAGGACACCTGAGGGGGTAGGGATCCTGGATTCTGCAGTCTCCACCAGAGCCACAGACTGTGTCTTCTACTGAGAAGAGCTAAGCAGTAATTCAAGGACTTTGTTTTAGATCCAAGTGCTGAGAATTCTCTCCCCAGAAGCAGCCCCTACAGTTGTAATACAAACCAGACTTTGATAGAAACTCAGTACAGGTGAAGATGGTTATTAGAAAACAATGGGAGAAAAGGGGTGGAGTGGGAAAAATCAGGGAAGATTTCAGAGCAAAGATTACCTTGGGAGGACTTTTAAAGATAAATAGGTGTTTTTTACTAGGCATGTGGGAAGGGCAATTCAGATTAAAAAAAAAAAAAAAGTCCAGAAAGCGAAGTAGATGCTCATGGTAGAGCACTGTGCATTTTGAAAATAACAAGTTCCTCCATGTGACTGAGAGGAGGTGAGGATGGCACAGAAAAAAAAACTCTAGGCCCAAATAGAAGTACCTTCAATACAAAGCAAAACACTACAATATGTAAAAGAAGGACACAAGTGATGGAAGGGAACTTCCATCATTTTCCCATTATACACACAAGGAGACTGAAGGTCACAGCAGTCCCAAGGTCAGACAGCACCTTGGCAGGCGAAACAGAAACCAGCCTCAGGTCCCAAAATTCCAGGGCAGTGTCCTCACTACACTGTGCTGCCTGGTGTGCCCTGGGCGGGGAACATGCCCCCAGGATGTGCATCCAAAGGACTGCAATATCTCGTGAAGTTGATCTCTTCTTCTAGTTCTGATTTACCCCAGAGTTCTCCCACTGCCCTTCTTGCTGTGAAGTGTGGTGGGTGAAGGCAGGATAGCTTTGCTGCTGCCCCCATCTGTGGAGTTCCGGAGGCTGGAGACTCATACTGAGGTACCATCAGGGGTAGTTCAACTGCAGCAGCTGGGGTGAGGGATGTGGAGGCAGGGAGGGAATGAGTGGCTCAGGGCTCCCAACTCCAGGCTCTAGGGTGCATTGGTTAATTCTACTAGAGACGCTGGAGGAAGGGGAGCAGCTTAGGAGGAAGAGGTCCCCAGGAGAATATCTACTCCAAGCAGTATCTCTCTTTCTCTCTCTTTTTAAGAAGCCTCACATGTTGGCTCCATCAAGGAAGCAAAGTCTTGAGAACACTCATTTGCTTAGAACTTTTTGGGGTCTCACATCTTCCACCTCCTGTTTTCCTCCTTGAGTTAATCATCGGGACTGGTGCAATGAGCACAATAGTGCTTCTTTTCCCAAAGCTGGGAGATATTGTCAAGAACAAACCATGTGGATGAGGAATTCCATGCAGGCATATCTAGTGAAGAGAATTCAGCTTT